CACGCACACATGCACACATAACAAACAAACAAAAAAAACATTTCTTGGTAAACATTAGTAATATTAAGCATGCACAGGAAGTTAAATGACACTTTGGGGATTTTATTTTTAATTTTTTACCAGTTTGTTAATAACACATGTAGGAACTACGCATGCGAGTACCAGGTATTGCACACTTTGTCCTGACACGCCCCAAAAGGCCAATCTGTTCAATTTCTTTGCTTTTTTATTTTTTGCAGGTGTTCTTGTATGCTGGTATGTGACATAAAGAAGAGCTTTTTCAATGAACTTAATGAATTAACTGTGTGATTATAAGCTTCTTTTTTCTCTGTCCATGGTATTCTTACCTGGGTAATATCAGGTGTTGGGGCCTGCCTTTGTTCAGGTGAGGACTGCTCCACAGTGAGCAGTGTAGCTCCAGACCTCCGCAGTACATCCTCCTGAACACGAGCAATTCTGATCTGACCCTGCTCTTCCTTTTGAGAGAAAGCACACCGTACAGGTTTGCTTAAATTATGTTCCACATATGAAGTGTTTGGAATGTCACATAATGACTGACACAATATAACTGAACTTTATCCTTCAACTACTGTCGTTGCCATTGTAAAATAACTTGCATTATAATAAAGAACTTAAATGACATTCACTTTTATTTTTTGTAGTTTTATACATATTATAATTCATGTAACAGTGATGTTTCATGATTTTTAAAATTTTTGTTTACTTATTTATGTTATTTATAGACCAAGCTCACCTCAGCCTCCTCAGATGTAGCTTTTTCAGATGCAGATGTTTTGAGTTCAGGGGTCGTCTGTTGGGCCGCCTGAGCTTTGGCTTGTGTGGGAGTTGGAGGCAGCTGGATAAATAACGCAGGAACCTTCTACAAACAGAGTGAAGCAGAAAGTTTGCACCAATCTTCTTGTAGATAAAATATCTGAGCAGCTGACTGATGGATTAACTAACTGACCTTCTCCAGTTCCAGCAGCAGAGTCTGGAGCTGGTCCACCACAGTAAAGACAGTCAGAGTTTCTTCAGCCTTCTCAGGAAGACAAAGGCCTGGCTTACATTTCTGGATCTCAGCTACTGTTCTTCTCATCGACTGGATCCTCTGCTCAACCGCCTGCACACAAAGAAGAGGGTTGAGAAAAATAAGAAAACGATGACTTTTACATTTATCTTTTTGTATAATTTGGGCAATCACGTCACGCTAATCCAAATGAAAACAAAGAAACTAACAAACCTTTAAACTGTCCTCTCTGGGGCTGGGAAAACTCTCTGGAGAAGATAGCAAGTTCTTGATCTCTGCGACATCATTCTCCATCCGCTTGACTTCACTCTCAATCGCCTCCACCTCCTAGAGGTTAAGACATTATCAGTCTAGTCTGACAGTAGAGAGTACAGTCTAGATAATATCCACTGAAGAGTAAAACAAAGAAACCAATCGAATCTCACAGCGGCAGCATGCTCCAGCTGAGACAGAGGAGCTGTGAAGCTGTCCTGAACGTCGGCCACTTGGCGATCTGCTTCGACCAGCTGTTTCTGGAGAGCTGTGACATCACAAACCTGCGACATTTCCTTCAGGACCGAGCTGAAGCCCTGCAGTGTGTTTCTGATCTGGACTGAATCATCCAGGACCAACTGCATCCCCAAGAGACAGAAAGAGCATTTTTTGGTTAAAAATGAATCACCACAAAATGGTTTGCTGTGCTGTGGAAAGAGCTGTGCAGACAGCAGAGTGTACCGACCTGCAGGGCGTGAACGTGACTGCTCAAACATTTAGCTGTGGTGTAGGTGCAGGGAGCGGCAAGCCACGACTGAGCCTCGGACATCCAGCTCTTGGAGCTTTTGACCATCTCTTGATGTTCCTGAAGCCACGTTTGAATCTAAAGAGAAACAGAACGTTTAAAAAGGGAAAAGCTTAGACATTTTTAAACTTATCAAAAGAATCACAGATGATAACAGAGACAGTAATGTGGAAGATTTAGGTTAAAAAGTCTGAGCTTGGTGATTCAAAGTCATTATATTTTGGTGTTTGACACTAAGCAGACAAACCATACAGCAGGGCAGTGAGGAGTTGGACAGCTAACAGTTTTAGGAAGCTTTTCTCACCTTGCTGATCAGGGTGGTCCTCTGCTCTGCCTGTTTGGCCAGCTGGGAGTGAAGCTGCTGAACCTCCACTAGTCTTTCTGTGAGGATCAGCACCTCCTCAGGCTTCTCTAAGTCTTGCATGTCCACTTCCAGCGCTGCCAGACGCGAGTGCCACGCATCCAGCTCGTCCCAGGCACGCTGAGCACACACACAAGGGGAGATTTATAATATTTATTCACTGACACACAAGCTGATTAGCCAGCCCCCTTCAGAAAGTGTTTCCCTCACTCACAGTTGACTTGTGAAGCAAGTCCTCGCTAAAGAGTCATTTCTGTTTTTGCAATCTATATTTTACATGAAAAGATGCACATAATGCTACGAAAAGAAAGTGGAATTTGTTGGTGTATTTGAAAACGGAGTAGGAGGATGAAAGCAGCATGAAAACTGAAAATAGAAATAGATGTACGCTGACTGTATGTATGCAAAAAAAAAAAATCATAAAAAAGAAAACAAAACAAGACTCAGCCCAAACGGCTTGTGTTTTCTCAACAAAAGAGCAGCGAAGTGATCACACATGTAGAACATGACACACACACAAACACACACACACACAGAAGGCAGCAAAGACGCATCCCAAACAGTACAAAGAGGTCAGTAAAACTTACCACGGATCTTCTGGCCAGCAGAGGACAAATGTTATATTGGACATCCTGTTATGTTTCCCTCACCCTCTTACAATCTATTTAATAATGATTTATTGTATTCTACTCAACAAGCTGTAACAATGAACCAGACACCCTGTTTCCTCATCACTCCCCACCTTCTGAGTGATCTTTGCTTGAGTCACAGTGGGGCTCCTCTGTTCCAGTCTCTTCTGAACAGATCTCAGGCCAGCCTCGATATCAGACATCCTCGCGCCCAACCTGTGAACAGGACCGCTCCTCTCTATCGCCTCTCCCACCTGATGGAACAGTCAGGAAAAAATATTATCAGCTAGACCTAAATGGATGTTGAATTTATTGTTTTGTTACAAAGATCTGCCTATCAATAGATTATTGATCTCTTAAAGGATCAATACACTCCTCATCATTAAAATGTCCAAATTAAGCCTTTTTCACCTTTTCTTCTACTTGCTGCAGAGACTTAGTGATGTCCTGCATTTTGCTGTCAATCTCAGCCGGGACCAAAGTGTACATATCTGAGTATTTCATCTTCAGGTTCTCCATGATACGGTGCAGCAAAGACTTCTGGGTACACAGCTGGCTGTAGAGCGCCTGAAACCACACAGATAGGCAGCCTTTTAAATAAAAGGGATTACAAAAGATATTAACAAATAAATAAATAAATAACAAGAAAGAATAAGTGTTTTGAAGAGTCTGTTAGAAGAGAAAACTAATCATAACAACAGTAATATTGATGGATTTTCTTGATGACTCATCATAACCATAAACTATTTTGTTTGGGTCATTGTACTTAGCACCAAAGAGAGTTTCCTCTATCAAATAACACTTGTAAGCAGATGCTTTAAAAAATGCTGACACTTGACTCTCTAACCAACATCAGCAATTTCTTTTGCATAGATGTCTACAGTTTGGGGGTTTCATTTTATGCAGAGCAGAAATCTTATTTTGGCACAAAATATCAGTCTTATGTACAAGTCTCACTAAAGAAAGTCCTTCTTGTAAGCTTTTAGCTCCTTGTCAAGCCGTCCTCTCGCTGTGTCCTGCTGCGCTGCCGTCAAACACAGTCTGCCTCACTCCTTCATTTACACAATACTTAAAAGTGAACTCATTTCACCTCACTATGATTCTACTGCACAATAAAAACAATATAAAGATCAGAAAAAAGTTAAAATATGACAAATAACACAGTGGAGACTACCTGGGTCTGAAAGCGTCCGATGGTCTACTATACGGGGAGGCGCATCTTGATATCACGATGGGAAACTGAGCTTCTGTGTGTGTGTGTGTGTGTGTGTGTGTGTG